CTAATGCTACTGCTACTGCTACTCCACCGCCACCGCCGCCGCCGCCGCCGCTGCCCCCACCACCACCACCGCCACCACCACCACCACCACCACCACCACCACCACCACCACCACCTGTACATGTGCAACGACTTCCATTTGCCTCAACTCTTTCTACATGCTCCTTCCCACTTGCGCTCCAGATTACATGAGACAGGCAGCACGCAGGGCGCAGAGGGACTCGTGGTAGAAGGCTTTGATTGTTTGGGAGCCATTCAAAAGGGGTTATCCCGCGGGGAGCTCAGAAGGTTCAACATGTTCTAAGTGGTGAAATGTGAAATGTGTGAATTCGTAGCATTCAGATCGCAACCAAGTAGCCGCACATCAAGTCAGCAGCTCAGCACATCCAAGCCACATTCTTAATTCTTGGCTAAATTTGCACAATGTGGCGGAGCAACACACTATCACTGACGTGAGGATAGGGATGGAGACCCCTACACAACTGCATCTCACTCACCTCAGAACAGGAGCCGGTTGGTGGATAATCAGGTTCAAATGTCTTTATCAGAACTGTTTCACATCTGCTACATTAAGTTTGTTGATCATCCCTTCTGCGTCTGCACATCATAGTGTTTCAGTATCAGAGCTCCTGTAGTTGAAAAAGTGACTACTCAGTGACTACTCTAGCTTTAGGAATTTGTCTTAGTGGGCGCTTGGGTGTTCTATGTGTGTCGGTGGGCCCAAAAGGCCCGAGAACTAATAGTACCGAGCCGGCGATTCTGTATCACATTAAGCCGTGGTGCGCGGCTGCAGATGGTCACGAATGTTTCCGAGCTTTTGTGGGAGCAAGAAATTTCGCCACACGAGGCAATCGCGAGCGCCACTGGGCACGGAGCATTACGACATTGCCAAGCATTCTGTGCCAAGTGGCAATGGATCCAGAACCTTAAATTTTGCTGGATTGACAAAAACACCTGCGAGCACAGTAAACTCGTGAAAGCTGATCTTGCGAGTGCAAAAACTTCAGTCGCCCTGGACCATAGGCAACGCCAGCACAGTAGATGCGGCTGGAGAGACCGTGCAAGAATAACAAGAAAACATAAAGACTCTTATTGCAGGAGGTCCGTACTTTGAGAATAACCACATATTCAGGGGTCTGAAATGGATCCTGGTAACAAGAGTCCTTTAGGCTCTACTGTATTTGGGGTACGAAAGCGGCCTGCACCTTTAACCGGTCTCTAGGAACCTCTCTCTTGCTCCTGGAAGGTCGAACATGCATCTCTGTGCTCAAAATCCTCAAAAGTCACCTCTTTATATCCAAGTACGACGCCAACGCCCGCTCCGCAAGCTACCGCAACCCATCCAATTGCCCAGCAGCGGGCATCAAGGCAGGTTCCACCACGCATCTGCAGACAATCAAGAAGCAAGTGCCCGGTTCAGACTATTTCGGCGCGCTTCGGACGACCATGACAGTAGGAGAATCAGGGAAGCCAGAGAAAGGACCAGCTGGTCAGCTTTGAGCTGCGCCTAAGATCACGTGGGCGAGGCCCTGGGAGCGCACGCGTCAGGCGCTTCTGAAAACGCCTAATTCACACTCTTGATTAATAAGGGCACCCCGGCCCCCCCACCCCCGATATTAATAGAACGGCCTCATTATTTCAGGGGCCCCAGATGCCAGAAGGAGATTTCAATTGTAAATCACGCCCACGGAACCCCGATTGGGGTCCACGTGAAGTCAATATAAAGCCAATTAAAATCCATTGAAGTCTTATTGAACTCCAAGAAAAATCCATATAAATCTAATGAAAATCAATTGAAATCTGATTCGGCTATAATTAAAATCAATATACATCTAATAAAAATCCATCGAAATGTGCTTGGACTCCAATTAAAATCAATATAGATCTAATTAAGATCCATTGAAATCTTATTGAACTCCAAGAAAAATCAATATAAATCTAATGAAAATCAATTGAAATCTGATTCGGCTACGATTAAAACCAATATACATCTAATTAAAATCCATCGAAATATGATTGGACTCCAATTAAAATCAGTATAGATCTGATTAAATTCCATTGAAATCTTATTGAACTCCAAGAAAAATCAATGTAAATCTAATGAAAACCAATTGAAATCTGATGTGGCTACTTGAAATCTTCTTGAACTCCAAGAAAATCAATATCAATCTAATTAAAATCCGTTGAAATCTTCTTGAACTCCAATTAAGCTCAATATAAATCTAGTGAAAATCAATTGAAATCTGTGTCGGCTCCGATTAAAGTCATTATACACTAATTAAATCCATTGAAATCTGATTGGACTCCAACCAAAATCAGTATATATTTATTTAAAATCCATTGAAATCTGAATAAAATGGTCAGGATGTTTTCTATTATTCTGGAGGAGTGGGTTTTCTTTTAATCCATGCAGCAGCACCCGTAAGGGGTAGCTTAGGAAGCAATGTTTGGCCGTGAAATTCCTAATAAAGCCTTGTAAGCAAATCCTGTTTGCGGGCCCCCTCTGACGTCTAGAGTTAGTAGGTCCCCATTACTACTTTTCTACAACCAGGTTTGAGGTGTAATTTTAAGTTCTAGAACATAAAATGTAGTTGGTCCCACATTTTTCTAGGGTTTGGGGATAATTTTCTTTAAATCTTAGGGTGTTAAAGGCCCAAAAGGTGCCTCTGCCTTTAAAATAGTCTTTGAACCAAAGACCCCATTTTCGGCACCGAGAATTTTCTTTGAATCTGGGTGGTTTTATGAATCTAGAGCGTGGATTAAGCAAGCCAGCTTGCATGCTCCGGGGGCATCATTTGGACCTCACATTTATGGCCACTCACTTGCATGGTGATGTCGAACATGCACAGGTTCGTGTTTAGGACCAGGAGTGTTCTTGAACCTCCGAGACGTGCGGCGTTTGGGTGGGTGGGTGGGTGGGCGGGTAGGTGCATTGTGCTCGGTGAGTCTTGGCACGCAGATGTTTGCTGCAAGTGGCTTCCGCAAAATAGAATTCATTCCGAAGTGTTGGCAGCAACAGCGAAAAGGCACCCTGAAGAGAACGGCTGAGGAGACCTGTTTATCCGCACGCCTTCTGCCACCCAATTACGGATGCAGGTTTGTGACCCGCCACGCATCACACACGCAGGGCCACGATGCTCCAGCGCCCAGCATATTCAGTGGGCTTCCTGCTGCACGCATTTGTGAGAAAGAGTGGAAATAGGCTCCGCGAAGTAAGGGCCCATATCCGTCTGGGCACTCTGATGCTGGAGGGTGATGGCAAGATATGGCGAGGCTTTGTTTGTAAGAGACAGTCCGCACCCACAGACGGAGAGTTGCTGCTGTGAGCAGCGATGAGCCTTATTATACTCACCTCACCTGCCTCACTCAAGCGCACTCCCACCGACTCACGTGCACTCTTGGCCTCATCCATCTCTCCACACTCACCCTTAGCGTTGATTGTCCCGCGCAGCCGCTTCGAAAGATATTAGGCAAACAGGGATGCAGAAAGACGCAAACAACTTGCGAAGCGCACGTCAACGTGTTCTTCCATGCTGCTTTTGCTTGCGCTGCCAGGCTATGCTTATGATGATGGAGTAGGACTCGCAAAGCGTACCTGACTAAGCCAGTAAGCCAGCTGGCAAAGCTGGTCCGGAGGATTGAAGCAGTGTCCTCCAATGACGCTCTACGAATGGATACTGTGCAGCTTGGCTTTAAGTCACGTGCTTGTGCCTCTTGACGCTGGGCGGCTTGCAGCATGTGGGAGCATGAGGCCCCGCGGAAGCAGAAAATCCGATTCAGTGGCTGCTCTCTCAGCTTTCGGCTTTCGGCATGCGAAGATGGTGCACCTGGATCATTTGCACATTATGGGGTGTTTCCAAGCTCCGGATTCTCTGGCTCAAACGCATGAATGACTTGCTGTGAAGGCCACGTTGGGTGGTGGTGATGTTGTCAGAGATAGGTGTAATGCGTAGCATGCCAAAAGGTTTCTGTCTCACAGCCTCAGTATCAGGAGCCAAGAGCAAAAGTTGATCACAGCTTAACGTTTGCGGCTCAGAGATGCCTCTGCTGCTTGTGGCGGCGATGCCCCCACGGAAGAAAAAACAGCTCAGCAGGCTGAACCTGAGAACTTCCGCGACTTGTTCTCTCTCTGTCATCAATGCTTTGGCAATTGCCCTTGTAGAGGAATGTCTTGGATGCAACCCATGCATCCATCCTTACATCTCCCAATGCATGCAGGCAAGCCAAAGGATTGCTGCTGGTGAGCTGCATCTTTCATGATCTTGCTGGACACTGGTGTTATGTCGCAACGCCAAACCTCAGCCGTTTCCAAGGCCATTTCTGCCTGAGCGGGTCAGACTTGCTTGATTCATTCCTGTCGTGCAGGCAGAAGGGCTAGAACCTCAGCAAAGGGCTGTATCAGTGATCTCAATGCTGTTCTGTATCCTGCAAGGAGGCAGCCATGGGTGCATTGCTGCCTTTGGCGGTTGAAGCAGAAGAGGTGCGAACTGCAGCGGCCAAACAGGTTGCTTTGCGGTATTCAGGAATGTTTGGCAGGGATATGCAACTTGGCAAAGATCATACGCAAAAGGCTCAGAAAGGTCACCAAAATTATTGGGGGAGATATGACTCCAAGGCAGGGCAGCAGCCCTCTGCCTCACACCAGGCGGCCTGCTCCGCTCCAGCAAGTCATCCACCTTTTCAAAGTTCGAGACAAATCGATGCACAAATGGATGGATGCGGGATGCGCATGCCAGGTCACTGGGCTAGGAAACGCAACTCAAGACATCTCAGAACGGCATTCCATGACCCGGCTTGTGTGAGGACGAGTCTCACGGCTCATGTGATAACCTAGTTGGAGACAGGAGAACTTGTAAACCTGGTGCTGAACACGCCCGCGTGCTTGCTCACAGATTCAAGCGCTCTATCCATGGGGACGACATGGGACGACCTGACATCACCTTGAATCTATAACCGGGGGAATCCACGCCAGGAGGCCAGTGGTGCTTCAATCAGGCTTTCCGCTTCGAGTTGCTAATATGTGCTGATACAATTCCACTCATCGCGCATTTACTAAAGAAAGCTGCCATGAGACACATCTACCGTCACCAATCACAAGCTGCAGCAAACAAAACAAGCCACCCCCCTTTCCACACTACGCCTACATCTGCGCGCAAACCAGAAATCGTTCCACCACGTCCATTTTCATACGCACGAAATCAAGCTAAGAAACCGCTTCAATGACTTGGGATGATACAAAAGTGGTGGTGCTGAGCAGGGCAGGGGGGGGCCCTTCCGAAGCGATCCTGTTGCGTCAGAGCATCGCGCTAAATTTGCGTGGCACTATAGATGCTAGTGACTGCTAGTGAGCCATAGTGAGCCTATTGCTCCAGATACCACCTTCTTGGAATCGTTAATTCTGGAGGAAGCTTGCAGAGCTTGCGTCAGGGTATACATGAAGTGCGCCAGGAACGCCCTGCCTAGAGGGCACCCTGATCCAGCTCATAACCAGTCCGCCAAATTGCTCCGAACGCCTTTGCCAGTAGGAAGTAGCAGATGATCAAGATCGAGGCCATCAATCAGACATAGCAGCTGATGGGCGAACGGACGGGAGTTACACCGGAGCGGTGCCCATTGCATCAAAGGTTGCTGGGTTGCTTTGCTGGTGTCCGGCAGGTTCCAAAATCCATGGCAGCAGTTGGGGGCGATCGCAGTGTCCTGAAAGGAGGATTGAAGTTCCCCAAGGCGCAGCGAATCGGTTCGTCTCGAGTGTGCTCGCAACCATCAAGTTCTCAATTCTTTGGTTGCCAGCCATTTTGTGGGCTTCTGCAAATTGAGCTTTGTTTGGGTTTTGGGCTCAGGCCTCCTTTGGACTGCAGCTTGGCTAAGCTTGAAGAAGCTGACAAGCCCTGATCCTGGCTTTTGCATTGATGCCTGCGGAATGTCAAAGGCAAGTGTACAGTGATGAGACAGCTGAGCGGCTGACGCAAATGGCCATCGACGTTGGCTACAGAAACTTTTTTGCTTCTGCACATGCCTTAGAATCTCGGTAAAGCAGCCTCCAGACAGACTCTTTCCGCCAGACAGGTCTTGGCCGGAAACCAGAAGGGGTTTGCCCGCGGTGTCCAAAAGTCTGGCATTTCTCGCGACGAGCTCTTCATTTGCGGATCAGTGCTAAGCAATTTGGCGCAGGCAGGGCATGTAACCCAGAGCTACTGTTTGGCATTCGGTTGATATTCAGCTGGGCAAGAACCGAGGATTTTGAAGATGGGAACCTCGGCTCAGAGTTGTAGCAGCATCCGAATTTGCAAGACTGCCTGTCGGACAAAGGTACTTGACCACAAAGAAAGGTTGCGCACAGAATCTGGAAGCCCTGGCTGAAGGCGACCGGGGCTGGCACATTGATCTTGGATCTGTTTGCGAAAAGCCGCCATGCAAACCACCCACCGTTCTCCAAACAATGCTGCGCATCTCGTGTTGAGGTGGCATCACGGAGCTGGATATGATTATGTGGCTGAGTAGCGTTTGCCCAACATGTACACTCACTTCGCTGATGCCGGGCGTTCATGGATGCGAAACGTGCAACTGCTGCTTGATGCTGCTTGTAAGGTTAGACTACCCAGCCAAAGACTGTGAGACCATTCGGGGGCAATGGAAGGCTTTTGAGGCGCAGTACTTCTTTTTGCCATAAACGCAATTAAGAATCCTCCGCAGAGGAAATGCTGGCAGCAGGCCAAACCAAGAGTTTGGCTGTGAGTAATTTTTCGCCAGAGCAGCTGGACTGTATCCTTGCGGATCCTGTGACTTGGCAGACTACAACTTTGTTGTTGGCAGTCGTCGTGGACCTGTGAGTTCCGGATGTTCAAGAGCAAGGCCACAAGGCCGCAAGAAACCTTGACCCAGGATGCAACTCCTCCAGTTCTGAATCAGCTTCCCTATTCTCTGAAGAGCTACGATGATAAAGCCGTGCGTGAAAACGGCAAACGCAACCTGGCCTGAAGTATCCCTGGCTTCAATAGGGGGCAGCCCCTTGCTTCTGGAACGGGGACGCTTCCACGTGGGAGGTTTGCAAAATGTCCCCATGGACCATGTCGATGTCTTTGCTGGAACAGGCGGCATTCTGGTGCAAGCCTGGGGTCCGCTGGGATCCGGCAGCCTGGGCATCAGCGCGTCGAGCCTTGGCCAATATCGCGCCTCTGCTTTCTTGTTGTGTTAATTCCACATTTGAGTTGATTCAGGAAGCTGGCCGAGGAAATCGGCCAGAAGTATGGCAAAACTGCAGCGCAGGTAGCCCTGCACCTGGGACTCTGGAGAGTGTCAAGAAATCCCGGAGACAGCCTAAGGTAGGCCGGTGCTCGTGGCTGCGACAGAATTAGAGCTAGCATCTAGAATCTAGAAACATCTACGTAAGGCTAGGCCAACAGGATTTGAATTCTGCGCGGTTCCAAGCTAAGTGCACCAGACACACGCTGCATTGAGAGAGCGCGCTAGGCATAAGTCCATAGTGCTGCAGCTTATGAGCCTGTCCTGGCCTAGAATTATGCTCTGCGAGCTTCAGGCGATGGATTTTGCAAACGGGAGCCACTTTCACGACTCAGTCCAAGAACAAGGCCATGACTTGATCGTTGGGGTAGGTTGGCAAAGGTTTGCTGACATGTAGCGGGGGTAGCTCACACAGGACCACTTGAAGGAGGACCTGCAGATTTTCGACTTTGTCCTAGCTGACGATGAGGTTCTTCAGCTAAGTGACCTGAGCACCAGCCTTTCAGGAGCCATTCTTGTTGAAAAGCGGTTGTTCATGTCGACTTCTCACTGTCAGTGTGCACAAGCACTCGTGACTCCAGGCTCTTGCTTTTGACAGTATCAACATACCAAAGGGTAAATTAGCAGCTTGCTACGAGACCGTGGTGGCCAGGTGGTACAGGGAATTACCGACTTTTGCGAAAGATGAAGCACGCCACAGTACAGGTTTCTGTCCGAAAGTGATGCTCATGCAGCGACATGGTGCAGGACGCCTCAGTGCTGTGGCAGATGTGGCCATTCCAGTCGGTGGGGCTGTGGGCGGCGCTTTGCTCATCTCCACCGTCTTGGATTCCTTCGATTCAAAGAAGGTGGAGGAAAAAGCGGATGAACCAAGGACAGCTGCCGGGGAACGGCCCTTGAGTAAGAAGACAGAGGAGGAGGACGAGGAGGATGATGGTGCTTTGTAGGCCTAAACTTGCTTGTTTTAGCTATCACGCTCCAAAGAAAGAGATGGGGGTGCAGTCCTGCGCAGCCATCTTAGAGCTCGTAGATGCGTAGAGGCCGAGTGTCACGCAGCGACTTTTAGCAGATGAAAGGGTGCGGACCTGACTGCGAAAAATTGGAGTGGCAGAATCCCTGCAGAAGACACTCTGCATGATCACCGGTTGTCGGCGCAACCTTAATGCTCAAGCTGAGGACGGCGACAGATGGAGCCCATGGCAGTCTGCAGCTTGTTCATAGGCTTGTTCAGTGAGCGTTTGCTTCTCTACTACTGTATCTGCTCTCTATGAATAAAGCAGACATCATTGGGCAAGCCAAAGGTACTGGCCCCTCTCAATGCGGATTTGGCGCAACAGAAAGGCCCAAATGAAGAAGCCCAAGCGGATCAGCCCTGGCCCTTGGAATAGGCGAGCGGCAAGGCCTTTGCTTCAAAACAGCAACTCCTGCCCATCACTTGACAGCTGCAAGAGCAGCAGGTAGTCTAGTCAGACCATGCCCGGTGCGTGTTCACAGGGGATTTGTAAAGGCTTGGCGAAATGCTCCAGCGCTCGATGCCGTGCAGATCAACATCCGACATTTGATGGTAGGTGGATCAGAAGCATGCGAGGTATGCTGGAATCTGATTCGGACTTACTTCAGACCCGGGGAACGTCTCAAACATGCACAGCAAGGCTTCGACTTGATTTCTGCCAGACCGTGGCAGCGAAAACACACCAAGGCCTCTTTGCATGGATTCAACATTTTGGGAAACTGGAGGCCTTCTGAAAATTGGAGAAGCTGGATGCTTTTTACTGTAGCGCATCCAGTTGTTTTGAGAGTGTGACAGACAACATTTGCATGCTCAACGGCTTAACGTGTGCATCTCCGATTCAAGTTCAGCAGGGAGATCGAAGGAGACTGGGCACCTTCGCAAGTGATGTCTCGTTTCCAGACACTGAGGCCAAAAGCGGTTCCGTGTCACAAACCACTGCGGCAGCCTGAGTGCCTTCTAGGTGTAGCTCAACATCTGTTGTGAAGAAGCGCCACGCGCGAATCAAGCATGAGGGGGGATGGTTTCCGTTGCTGCATGATCTTTATGGTGTTGTTCGCATGGTCTCTCACGCTCATTGTCTGCTGCATGGTTTCTTTGGTTTTCTCGCAGTGGACACCGTGCTTGGGCAGTGCTTGGGCGCACTACAACATGCGCAGATAGAAGTTCGGGCAGGCGAGTTTTTACATGGCTGCTCATTTGGGATCACTGCTTGAGCTGTTCGACTTTGTCCGCTTTGAATTGGTTCATGAGGCGACGTGTGCATTGGCTTGTTCGCTCCCGCATTTATCAGAGCCCTCAGGGAGGCTGTGGCACTGCGGGCCTGCTACTACTGGGGAATGAAGCGGTGTACTACGTGATCTGGCCTGCCCCTGTTGGTACACACAGTGGTGGGGAACCTTTGCCGTTTCACGCTGGTACTGTTGCGATGCTTTGGAGATTCGAGTTATTGGTTTCCAAGAAACTATTTGACATTCTTCTGCAGGATTTTTTTCTGGGGATCGCTGCTCTGCCTGGTGTCGGATCACAGGTTTCCTGTGTGAGTTCTTTCGTGTAACTCCTCTCCACGTGCAGACGCTTGACGCCGCAGGGCTGGCCTCTCAAGACAAAAGAGCCTGTGGCTAGTTAGCTGTGTTGGCACGACTGTTGCCACTCCTTTCTCATAGGCTTCGGTCGTTTCATGTTAGTGGAGCACCGGGCTCTGTTTTGGTGCGCTGATCCGTGCTGCGGGGCGGCTGAGCAGTTGGTGACCTTCTGCCTGGTCAGCAGGTGCGTGGAGGCACCGTTTTCTGAGTTCTCCTTTTACATGCTCCTCCTGAAGGAGATAGCTCTTCATCTTTTTTTTTTTTATACATTTCTCCTGAAGTTTGCGTGCAAGTGTGCCTTATGGACCCCAAGACCTACTGCCAGATCAACAGAAGCCTGGTGGAGGTGCGTTTTTTGGAGCTTAGAAAGTACATACAGCACACGCTGGACGCCAAGACCTCTTACCAGATCGACAGAAGCCTCGTGGAGGTCCGCGGCAGCCATGAGCTTTTTTGTTTGCTCTGTTTTCGGGGTCCTTAGCAGGAGCGTGACAGCGTGGCGCAGTATGTACCATCTTGGGACGGCAATCCTGGCAGAAAATTCCTGGCAGTTATCAAGCGTTTGAGACCGCATGTGAGTGGCTTGCCCTGACTTTGAAGGACACTGAGCCGAAAGGCGCTGCTGCGCAAGTGTGGTCGAAACTGGTTGGGACAGCCAGAAGTGTTGTTCGGCATGTTCTACCGCAAGATTTCATCTCCGATGACGGCCTTGATAAGCTGTTAGCTATTTTGGGGCGGCCTCCCTTGCAAACTTTGCGAATTCCGGACGCGCTCCGGAAGCTGGAAAAATGTGCTTCAGCAGTCGCTGGGAAGAAGACCTTGACGGCAGCTGGAGCTACGACCCCTACGGTGGCCACACCAAAAGCCGCGACGGCAGAGGATTTTGGCGACTTGCCTGACATCACGCCGAGCCCTTCTAAGTCTGCGTCGGGAGCTCTTCGAAAACCAAGCAAGCCAGGAGCCCTGAGAAGGCCGAGGAGGTCGCTGACCGGCGGAGATGGCTCCTGACTACTTCTCCAACAAGCTTGTGGATACAGGCTCTTGAAGGCGGCCGGTCTTTCCCATCAAGAGTGACAGCAGATCCTGACCTTGACGCAGAACAAGGTGTCTTTCGAGTTCTAGGAGGTGAGGCAGGCACTTCGCTCCTTGTATGGAGACAACAGGAGATCCGTTCGCTGAGCGAAAGGCTGGAAAGGTTGCTAGGGAGTACACGCAGTCCGTGGAGGCTTATACTCCAAGGAGACCTTCAAAAAGCATGAGGCAAAAGATGGACGACCTGAGCCATCCAGCGATCTTCCTGAAGAGCGTGTCCGCTTGAAGCTGAGGAGCCCTGCGCCTGGTAACCTCCAGTTCTTGTTTGGCATGGTCGATGGTGACCTGGCACAAGACTTGCCCGAAGAAGGTACTTTGGCATGTTCCAAACCTTTCCTGCGGCAAGCATTGTGACAGAGAGCTTCTAGCATTCTAGCTTGCTGGCCAGATGCGTCAGGACATGGAAGAGTTTCTGCAGCAGAGTGCTAGACCTTCCGTGACAAACATAGAGAGAGTTGTGAGTTGTGACAATCCTGTAGGCAGATCGTCAGTTGCAAGCCCTGATCCATGTCCAGTTGAATCTCCAGTTGTACACGGTCATGAACAAGCGCAGGTGGGCAAGTCAGCAGTTTCTTCAGTACTATATCCAGCTGTTCTTCCGCGTGTGGTGTTCGTTGTGGTTGAACCTAGGGACCTATAGGGATGCGCAGTTCGGATGGTCAGTTTCCGTGCAGGTAGAGTCGTGCTGTGATGCAGTGTTTCATCAAGAGTTGCTGACTGCGAACGATCCCAGTAGAAGGCAGAGGCTGGAAGGCCGTACTGTGAAGCAGCGCATCCAAAGCTTGAGGCTGAAGCTATTGCCATGTTCCCTTTCCTATCCTCGCACTCATGGTGTCCAAGGTGCCGGGCCCCGCTTCGGATCCAAGGGTGTCAGAATGGTGCAGGGTCGGAGGATCCAACGTGGAGAGAACGTGCGCATGAAGAAGACCATGGGGGCAGCGCACGGTGACTACGTGAAGGAGAAGGATCCCTCCAACCTGCGATGGATGGCGACAATTTGAAGGGCGCTCCGAAGAGCAAGACCGACCCGACGACCTCCAAGCCCAGCGCAGCAACGAATCACATCTACTTCCAGCGCGTGCAGCAGCCCCAGGCCCGCCTCAATCTGATTGCGGGCTCGACCTGGAGGACGAGGCAGCGACCAGAAGGGCGCCACCATGGCGCCGATGACGAAGTGAAGAATGACAGGAGCGTGGGCTGGAGACGGAAACCAATGATCGTGCATTTCAATTTGCGGTGCCATGTGACTTGGTTGATCTTGAGGGATTTCTCTAAAGGAAAGAAGGCTTCACGAACACCAGCCGTCGGAAGATGGACCAACGTGGTCGAAACTTCCTCACGAGCCTCCTTTGTACAGCAGTCGCTGCGATGGCCATGTGCCGGACTTCAGAATTCATTGAGGCTATAGCGGCGACAACTTGGGGCGAGCAATGCCGGACGAGGGAATCGTTCACCGGTCCGTGAATTACAAGAATGGCTTCAACCTGGACCAGCGGGACGGCGCCCACGGTACTATCGACCTGATCCAGGAGACGAAGCCGTCCTTTGTCTGGGTGGCCCTGCCACAAGCCACCGCTTGGAGAAGGTGACCCGTGAATTCAGCCCTTATTCCACATGGACAACTTTTGAGCGAGTTCGGCCTTGCGACTTGCAGCGAGCCAGTCAAGTTGCAGAAGGCATCCGGAAGGTCATTGATTATGGTGGTCACTTTGCTTGGGAATGGGATTCCGAGGCCCACTATGGGTGCCATCGAGAAGACCAAGGAGCATGCCTCAGCCAATGGCGTGCGCCTCTACGAGTGCATGGTGAGTCAGTGCCATTATGTGAGAAAGGAGACATGTCCACGAAGCAAAGTGTGGAAGAGATTGACAAGAAGCAGAGAACTTTACAAAAAGTTTGCGAGAAGGGATGTCCTGGACACCGTGACCATGACCCTGCGCCAGGCAAGGTGGTGTGCCCAGAGAAGATGTCCATGGACGTTGCAGATGCTGTCGGGTGGGAACTTCTGAAAGCCAGCGATTCCCGCAAGGATGACGTCAAGACTTTCGCCATCGGAGAGTTCTCCGAGGTGATGGCGTTGAAGCGCACTTTTGTGTGTCCTGTAGAGAAGCCGTCGGGCCGTAGATTAGAAGAAATGAAAAGCCAGATAATGAAACTGCGTCGTAGGGCATCTGGCCACACCAGCTCTGACAATTTGTCGAAGTTGTTAGAGCGTAGAGGTGCACCAGATAGGTCGGTGAGTCTTGCTAAAGAACTCAAG